TGACTCCGATGAAGCAATGCCGCCATAAATCACTTACACACTGTAGGAATAACCTATGAAAAATTGAAATTTCTACAAGTTCCTTTTTTATTCTACTCCGTAGAAACTGAAATTTTCACCATCCGTCGATACATGAAGAATCATTATTTTTAATCACATGCTGGAAGTTATAATAGACAACAATACTACACTATACGTTTTTCAACTAACATGAAAATCCTGTTTTTTATTGTTTTTTAATCAAAATTAATTCAATTTGACTATTTACAATTCCAATCGAAACAATGTTGATGACATTTTTTGAATCGTAAACAAATCATCTTAGAACATTCAACTTTGATTTTCGGTAAATATTGATATTAAGCACATTATCAAAGCAATTTTTTAAGAGCAAACTGTCAGACTAATGTCGAGCATCCTGTACCGTGGTATCTTGATTTGATATTATTTTGCAGGTATAGAAACCAATGTTCATGAGTTCACCCTGTATTGGATGTTCGGAAAAAATCTCGATCCGCATGCGGTCTTGTGACTTAACATACACCCATTGTTGTTCTGTTCTTTGTGAATCGGTAACTAGCCAATCGTCGAGCCTTATGGTTTTTTTAACCTACATAGTTGAGTAGAAAGTATACGGTATGTTGTAGGAATTGCCATCGAAACTCTTAATAACTCACAAAACTACTCACTCCTATATCCCATGCATCTTGATCTAGTTCTCACGCCCACGCCTCTTATTATATATAGTACGGAAAACGAAGTTACAATAATTTTCGTTACGAATGTCCAAATCAGAATGGAAAAGAATAGTAGTTTCTAAAACTAAAAAGACACGCATTTATAGATAGTGATACTCAAAAAAAGTAGAAAATAGAATTATAAAAGTGTGTTGATAAATACACGACATAGAAAATACTCATTACGGAGGTGCTAATATTTTCTATACCTATATTAATCAATAAACACACACTCATTATTTTATTTTCTCCTTTTTCTTTAGCTTGACCATCTATAAAATCGTGTCATTTCAGTTTTTCAAACAACTATTCATTTTTATTTTTTTTAGTTCGGTTTAGCTACAAGATCGTGTTTTTCAGTCTTTATTTATCTACTACCCCGCAATGAAAGTGGGTGCCTTCCTTAGTGCTTAGATGTTGTAACCGTTTCAGGTTCCCTTTTCACATTTTCAGGAAGACACTACCGTCTCTCTGGATGTGGAAATCGTTCATCCTGAAGATCCTGACCAGGATAATGGAGCAGAACTATTAAATTGTCATCGGTCCTTGATAAATTTGCGAAATTTCAATTATTCAATTCGACGTTTTGAAGTGGGTCAACATCACCCGTCACTCTCGATGTTACTAATAATAATAATAATAAAAAATAAATTTTATCTCTAGGAATACTACAAAAAGTGATCACATAAAGTAGGATTAAATGAAACAATCGCCAACAACAGAATATGATACTTGTAAACGTTTTGCAAAAATATTTCCGACATTATTTGATTCGAAAGTTCATGAACTCTGTCACATCATATGGTTCGATGTTAACCAACAACTTGAAAACTGTTTTCTTGAATTTTGCTTATGATTTTATCGATTTGATGTCACTAGAGAGTTTGTTATAAAATGTCTGGTATCATGTTCTGTCTGAGATCCCATATTTGTGAATAATCATTTATTTTTGAAAATGAATAATATATATAGGCACACGCTTGAATGAACATTGCATAGAGGGTGAGTAGTTTATTCTTTCTGAATGAACCTCTGCATGAATCTCCAGGTTTCAAATTCCAGAGAATCCTGAGAATTATCTTCTGGATTAGGAAGATCGCGTTCGCGGCCTTGCTACTTCCATAGAATATCATAACATACCTCATGATTGACTCTACGTTTGCATGATAAACCATCTTAAGTGTATGGTACTTGATATATTTAGCAATAATTCTTATGCTATAACCAGACGATTTCAATTTTCCACTAATATTATTGATGTGATTCATCCAACTCAATTTAGTATCAATGTGCATTCCTAGAAATTTTACATATTCTGACATGCTCACATTTTGATTATCAATTTCAATATGTGTTGGAATGCCATATCTGGGATAATTGGTTGTGAGAAACAAAAAATTGGTTTTGCTTTTATTCAGAATTTGTTTGTTCATTGTGAACCACTCATTTGGCACTTTTAGAATATGATTAACAATCAGTACCAAATCAGGAAACAGTTCACCATGAACTAATAGGTTTGTGTCATCTGCGTAGTTGTGAGACAACATTTCTTCGAAAAATAGAAACGTACATTTGAAATTTTGGTGACAGACATTTCAACTTTTGGTGGCGGAGCATCATGCACCAGTTTATTCGAGAAAAAAATTGCTCACCCGGAACATTCTGATCAGGACAATGGAACAATACGCTTAAATTATGCTATTGTCGCCGGTCCTTTAAAACGAACATACAAACATACATAACAAGCTAATAAAAGCTTGGTAATATGAAAAATTGTATCCACAATCTTTAACGCTGAGTGCTATCCTCAGCCCTCATTTCATTCAAAGTATCATCCGGAGATATTCGAGAAAAAACGATAATACTTACTCCCCACGAATGATAGCAATATCGATTCGAAGAAGAGGAAGATATAGCTAGATCGATATTTCTCTTACACTTGTTCAATTTATTCTACTTTCGTTTGGTGGTATTGTCTTGCTAATACAGGAAGTAATTTTGTGCATTCGCAGTGGATACGTACTGTCTATGTCTACCTAAATTGATCGCAAATTTACATAACTAGTTTCATTACGTCCATAATTTGAATTGTTCGTCGCATACCGTGATTTCAATAATATCTGAAGATCTGAGGAATAAAATGCGAAATGACTAAGTTGTGGTTTTGATCTCAATCTCTAAAGCAGTTTTGAGTTCTTAAATAGATAGGCAGCTATTATAGTCCAGCAGCAAATCAATATCAGAATATTCCTATAGTGCTGACTCTGGTTTTGATTAGCTAGAAATTGGTGTCATCGATGCTGTAGTGAATAATTCTTGGAAACACATCCTGTTGTATTCTTATTATGTATGCGATTCCTAATTATTTTGATTAGAAACTCATCCAATAATTATGCAAAGATATGGCGTGTTTGTTTTAATTCTGGGAAATTTACATTCTTATTTATTCCAAACAACTAATTACACGTAATACAATGGAAGTTATTTCGTAAATATTTCAACGTTGCATTCTGTTATTATACTTTTCAGTTCCAAAGAAATTCTGATATATTCTCACCAAGTTGCTGTACAAAAAATGTTCTCTTTATCTCAGTACTTTGTGATATAAGTCTGAATTAATCCATTAGTACCCAGATTTTTTTTTCGATTTTTTGAGTAATTTTTGTATTTTTTGGACGAATTGTTGTAAGAATTTATCGAAAATCATAAATTTATGCAACTAGATCTTCAGATTCTTCAGGATAAGGTGTTACATATTTGTAACGCTAGGAACTACTGGTAGCAAAAAATAAGTATATTTGATAATAAAGAGTTTTATTAGAAAAGCATATAGATACAAACAAATTTAAATAGGCATTTAACATTTTGTTCAAACAGTTTATGTGTGGTAGTCAACAGAACAATCAATGCATAGGCTCAAGAATCAATATGGCGATTAAAAATTTCATTTCATCTGGCGACACTCCTGGACCGTGTTGGTTTTTGAAGCATAGGAACAGGTCAAAGAAGTCAACAGCAGATTTGTTTTGGAACATTGAATAATCTGCTTCAAGACCCAATCACGGGGGGTCAGAAACTTATGGATATACTATGTGAGCTGCTAGCAAATTCACATCATTGGTTGGAGAAACAATATATTCGATTCGTATTCGAATGAATCTTCAACAGATACTTGCGTTTGTGTCTCATGTCCTCTTCCTTGGCAGTTCGTACTTCTGCATCATCCAGTAACTGAAGCCAGCTCAAATTATCAGCATTTACGCCCTCGTCCTCGTCTCCAGAACCATCATCTGTAAGATTAGCTGTATCTGGTGGTGCTATTTAAACTTCATCTATGCAGCCATGTATTTCGTCATCTCGAACAGGAAGCCCCTTCTAAAGGATGGGCAAAACCGCTGAAATATCAAATCATCATCAATAACGCGAAAACAATGATTACATTACATCCTAGCGTTACACATTCGTAACACTCATATTCAAAACAAAAAAATCTATGACGAGTATATACAGAAAACATCTTTTCATGTTATCATAATATATGGTAATCTTGTAAGTAGGGGGATGACATGCGCGTAAACAGAGGCGGCTAATTCAAATTGGCAAGTACATGTACTACAATATGCACTCATTCTATTTGTATACTCATATTAACTTCATTACACAAAATATAATACAGGTACTAACCTTTCATCGGGGAACTCCATATTTTTTGGGTTTTGAACTTCTTTCGGTTTTTAGGGGTCGAAATATCAAATACCGAACTAAAATAACCCCTCACGACTAAAAATTGCTGATCCTCCATACTTTCTAAGACGAACTGACGAGTTAGGTGGCAGAAATTTATACTTTGGGCGACAAAACTGCAGATAACATGACGGCATTTCATTGTTACTTGAAAGTAACGCTAGACACTTATGGGTTAGTATCTCAATTCGTCTGTTTAGTAATTATGCAGCATATTTGATCTAATGCCGACATTAAATTCAGTTTCATTACATAGTTTCAATTTCCTGTAATAATGTTGCTGTTATCTTCGACACTAACATAAACTGGCCTTTATGTTGTAGAATTATGATAAGCGAAACATATACCTGATCTTTATTGTCTACACAACGTGCTGTTGTGGTTTTCAGTGATTGTGGAGCTAATTTCCAGCGCAGTGGTGTACAAAAAACAATGTTGAATTCACCACATCCAAACTGAAAAAAAAAACTCATTTTGATATTGCTGAACCAGTTTGCATTTAACATTGTGTTTTGTTTTTCAGGTCAGATGAAGACGACCCAAGTGGGAGCAAGTATACTAGAATGGAAGACGACAATATACAGGACAAGGAACGATTTGCAAGGTATTATTCATTATTACAAATCATTTTCTTGGAAGATCATCTCGAACTGGAAATACAAAACATATACAGGGTGTCTGTAAAAAATCTCTCCTGAGGTCAAAATGAGCTGACTCGCAGCAACTTAATCCATTTCCGAGATACATGATGGTAAAGTTGAAGAATAAAAATCGAATTTAATTGATGGGTAAAAATAGATGATATGGTTCCTAAGCTCATTTCGAGAGAAAAAGTTCATATGAACATATGCCCTAAACCTCTTAACTTTCGAGCTTTAGGTATAGGGTGTTGATAGTTTGAGAAAAAATTCTTTTCATAATATAACTTCAATACTGTTCTAGATATTTCCACGAAATTTGACATACACCTACTGAGCATTCACATTCTTTGATGCAGGATTTTATTCAATAATTCTACCAGTGGCATCCGTATGGGATGTATACTGGAGATTTAAAAAAATATATTGTGGGGCCCTTGCTTTTTCCAAAAATAAAAATCATTTGTGAAATCCATTTTTATTTATTTGTGGTATAACGAAATTATTTCGTACTAGTAGGCTGGTGCCTTATTTTGTACATTTGATCGATTACGTTGTGGTCTTATTTTGAAAAGTATTCATGAACGTGACAAGTTTTTTACATTGTGAAAGTGTCTTCAATCAATAATAAAATTAATAAAGAGAAAATAAAATTTCAACACCCTATAGTTGGAATGTTGTAGTTTAGGGTATATGTGTATATGAACTTTTCTTTTCAAAATGAGATAAGGCACCATATCCTATATTTCTAACCATCAATTGAATTATACTCTGATGTGTATAGGTCTCGCGCCAGAACCTTATTTATTCTGTATGCGAAAGAACTAAATTTTTTTCGAAATGTCAACCTGAAATTTAGTTCTTAAGAGAATGGCAGGCTGATAGCTATACAGGAAAAGACAAAAGGTACTCTTTCACCCTTGTCAAAGGGCATTATTCTTAACGCCCTATAGTAAAAGTGAGTGGTGAAACTTGCTTCATTATGTTTTAGACTTTGTGACCATTGTTCATTAGCTTGCTTCGAGGTAAATGATAACACTCCAACGATGCTAAGATAAAAGAAAACTTAGAATCGAGCAAATTTTATTTCAACCAAGCATATAAGAATATCATAATAATATATGGCAAAAATGAAATGACAGAATGTTCGTTTCGTGTATAATATTCTCATATTCAACAAGATGATCCGTTTGAAACGAGAACGAGTCCATACTGAAATATGAAAACTGAAACAAAAAGAACATGATTCAGTCAAATCAACAGGACACTATTTTTATACTGTTTCAGATAAGACATCATCCTTGCTCAGAATGAGTGGCTTCATTGATATAAATATGTATCCTGTTGATTCAATCATAATTCGCTCATTCCAACAAAAATCATTACAACTTTTTTATCTTTTTTTCGTGTATCGCGTTAGATATTTTCCAGTGAGCGATCGGTGCCTGCTAATTGCCATTTTAGTCGCCGCAGTCGAAATGAGAAACATTTCGACGCCGAAAAAAAAAACGCTCAGAGATCATTCGTTCGTCGGGTCGCACCGTGAACCGTAACCGCCTCGTCCTCGTCTCTCGTAGTAGTACATCTTCGGACGGGGGCATTAAAAGCAAAGTCAAAAGGGAGCATCTAGCCATCGCGTTCCCGAGCAGTCGTGACGGGCCGCGGGACGCGGGGGGCTCGCCACGGAGTACGGCCGAGGCGGCCCCGCGCAATTTCCCACGCTGCCGAGCCTCCTTCTCCGCCCCCTGGGCCCCCTTCGCCCCCCCAACGCTGGTCGCCGGTCCTCTCTCCCCCCCGTTTGGGCTTCGCGCTGCGCTCGGTACGATAGCACTCGAGCGCTCCTCGTACGGTGGTCGGCTGCGTCGGAGGCGCTCTGCGTGGCTCTGCGCCACGGATTTGATGGTGTACGAGGCGGGTTTCGTATTTATTCGTTACACGATTGGATGTAGATGTGGAGCCAAGCGACAAGGTCATCAAAATTGAGTTGTATGGATGGATCGCTATCGCTACCCATACTACATCTAGCAAAAAAGGTCCAACCTAATTTCGAATGGGTATATAGACTTATTAATTCCCTGTCATAAATTCAATTGTTATCGAAAGAAGAGCCAAGCGACAAGTTTCCCTTTCGCAGATTCTCATCTCATTATTTCCCAGTGAATAATTCTCACTTGCTTCATATCTGATGGTTCCTGAGATAATATGGTTATTTTGTTTAGAGCGTTCATCTTCTCTGAGACTTGTATTGTATTTTATGCATAAGGGATGAAGGTTGAATATAGGGTGACCTGATAGATTTTTCGTTACCTGTCCCCTGTTCCCTATAAGTCTGTGCATTCCTGCTGTAGAGTGTAGAGACACAGTCTTCCTTTGCTTAGTCGAGCTACCTAAAATGTCCTTTCAACCTGCAGTGCTCACTATTAAGACTCCCAATTAGTATAGTTTATTTTTGCTGATGGGCTGAAATCTGCATTCGATATTTCGTGATTATATGTACCCGCAGTTACCTTAGCCTCCCTGAGACCTTGAAAATTTTCCCAGATCTTTTCAAGGATGTTTGAGCTCCTCTCCTAGTGTGTTTGTCCGCTACTTAAGGGTGACTGTATTTCTGTTGGCTAGTTCGTTCAGTTTTTACTGGCATTCCCTAACCATTTTAGAGCTGACAATCACGGAGTTGATTTCTCGTCTTTCATAGCTTTTGCCTAGATTGAACTATAAACATTTTCCTATATATAGCGTGAACTTCCGTCTGGAATATGCTTGGGAATTTGCCAAGGTTTTCGAAGTACTCGGTGTGAGGCCCCTAGACTCTGATAATCTTCAGAGGTCAATATCTTTTTGTTGCTTGGTTCCCTCTTGCATATGTCCAATTTGTCATGTGATTCAAGCGAATCAAGAAAAAAAACAGCAATTGAGTTCTTCCGATATTAGTTTTACCCTAGAACTCATTTTCGGAGAGTGTTTGGAACTCGGTTTGGAAGTATTTACTAACAGCTACAGGAATATCATCATCAGGGGACAATTCTGGACAACTCGCGGGACCATCGTGCATATGGAAAAAAATTACCAGCCAAATCAACTGTGAAAATATTTGCTTTCAGAATCATCAGTCTGGTTTTGGTGTTTTTATCTGAGAATCGTAGGTGTACGCTTTAGGAACTTGAGTTTTGGAACTTGTGGTGCCGTAGAACTTTTGAAGACAATTATTATTGTTGAATCTATCGAAAAATAAGTTAATGGGGGTGATTGATTGATTGATTGATTAATGGCAGAATGATCAGTCAGGGTTTGAAGCCCAAAACACTGCAGCCTTTGGGCCTATTGTATTCCTGATCATGCTGTTGACTCAGGTGAACAGGTTCGCTACCTTGATGAGGTTTAGCAGCCTCTTCACCAGATCATTCTTTGAAAATGCCTCTTGAGAGTTTACTGCTCCCAGAAGGTTGTATCTCCAACGCGCTAGTGCTTCGCACTCCAGTATTACATGGGTGGCAGTTTCCTCCTCCTCATTGCATAGTCTGCATATGGGTTCGTCTGAATAGATGCCCATTTGATGCATATGTTTCCTCAAGGGGCAGTGACCGGTTATTAGTCCCGTCACTTGTTTGATCTGACTTCTGTTTAGGCTCAGAATGTCGTTAGTCACTGTTTTGGACAGTGTTCCAACCATCAGTTTACTGTGTCTTTGTCCTGGGACATTGTTCCAGTATGCCTGATGTCTTTCTTGCGTCCACCTTGCCAGCCAGCCGCGTATTGAGGTTTTGGGGATACCGAACACAGGTTCCGGCCCCATAAACAACGTCGCAGACCCCTGCCGGGCAAGAGCGTCAGCTGCTTCATTGCCTTCAATTCCCTTATGCCCTGGCACCCATTGAAGAGTTACCTTGTTGTGGTTAGCCAGGGTTAGCAGGCTTTGAAGGCAATCCCAGACCAATTTTGATCTGATTTTATTGCATGTTAGAGATTGAATGGCCGCCTGACTATCTGAGCATATGAGGATTTGTTTACCTCTGTATCCTCTTACTATATTCTCTCTCAGGCATGCCTCAATAGCATGCACCTCTGCCTGGAATACTGAAGCATACCTCCCCAAGGAAGCACACATCCTGGTTCTGGGTCTATCTCCATATATTCCGGCTCCCGTGCCCTCATCAGTCTTAGAACCGTCAGTGTACCATACTAACGTGCCTTCCTGACAGTTAGTCAAGACCCTTTCATCCCAGTAGAGCTGAGTGTTGAAGGGTCTGTAATAGTTATTTCTAGGCAGCATTTTGTCCCTTCCCATATCCATTAGTGGGCTTGAAACTTGGCTGATTATTTTTGTATGTCCCAGGGAGTCACCCCGAGCATACCAGTTGCCGGTACACTCCAGTCTGTATGCCCCCATCCTCGCTTCCGCCCTGATGAAGATTTCAAGAGGTGGAATATTGAGTATGGTTTCCATAGCAGCGGTAGGAGTGCTGCGCATAGCACCTGTGATGCAGAGACAAGCTAATCTCTGGAGTTTTGAAAGCTCCATTATAGCTGATCTCTGTTCAGTCTTAGGCCACCAGACAAGCGATCCATATACAATCATTGGTCTCACCACAGCAGTATACAGCCAATGTACCATGCGTGGTTTCAGTCCCCATGTGTTACCAATCGCTCTCCGAGAAGCCATTAGTGCCATTTTGCCTTTGCTGACAGTTTTTCGCAGTTGAGTATTCCAGGTTAGCCTAGCATCTAGGGTTACTCCCAGATACTTAACCTCCTGTGTCATACTTAGCTGTGTGTCAAAAAGTCTGGGAACTTTTAGTTTGTCCAGTTTCTTCTTTTTCGTGAAGGCCACAAGTGCAGTTTTACTAGGATTGACCCTGAGGTCTGCCTTTCTGCACCAGCCCTCTACTATCTTCAGGGCTCTCTGCATCAAGTCTGAAATAATTTCAGGATGCTGCCCCTCTACTAGAATGACAACATCATCTGCATA